ATTTATGAACAATGCAACAGTAAAGATAATATAACATAATTGATAAGAATATATATAGTATTCTGTATGTATTTTAAGTACTTTTCAATATAATATTGATTCAATATGATACACTTTACAAATTAGAGTTATTTAAATTGTTCTGAGAATTTTACTTTGTGGTGATAAAGGTAATGATTGAAGTTTCAGTTTTTATAAAGTAACACTTCATAATTGCTTATTTCATATGCAAGTTGCTATTCTAATGTGGTTTTACTATATAAGTTATCTGTGAGATGAACAGTTTGTAAATTGGTTTGTTACCCTATTGCATATAAATATAATTTTGTTCCCCTTATTTACTTAAAGACATTGAATTTTTAAAACTTTATCTCATAATTGTGTTTTATTTTGATTATTTTAAAAATTGCTACTATACTTAATATTCAGGTCTTTTCAAAATGACAAGAATAAGCAATTTCTGAGGATTTTGAATATGCTTTTCAAAATGTTTATTTTCTGTTGCTTAAGATGGAGCCCTCCTGGTAGCAGTTTGTCGTGGTAAAGTGAGTGAGGGTCTGGATTTCTCAGATGACAATGCCCGTGCTGTCATAACAATAGGAATTCCTTTTCCAAATGTGAAAGATCTACAGGTAGGCCATTAAAGCCTTAAGAAGTTTTATCATCATAGGAGTCATTGGTTTAGTGTGAAGTTAATTACATACCTTGTTTTACTACACTTTGCATTATTTTGTGTTTTTACAAATGAAGGTTTGTAGCAATAATGCATCAAGCATGTCTATTGACACCAGTTTTCCAATAGCATGTGCTCACTTTGTGTCTCTTTGTCTCATTTTGCTAATTCTCACCATATTTCAATCTTTCTCATTATTATATCTGTTTGATTTGTGATTAGTGCTCTTTGATGTTACCATTTTAATTGTTTTGGGGTGCATTGAACCATGCCCATGTAAGAAGGCAAACTTAATTGATAACTGCTGTGTGTGTTCTGACTGCTCCACCAACCAACCATTCCACTGTCTCTCTCTCCTCGGGCTTCCCTATTCCCTGAGACACAACAGTATTGAAATTAGACAAATTAATAACCCTACAATCATCTCTAAGTGTTTGAGTGAAAGGAATAGTTACACATCTCTCACTTTCAATCAAAAGCTAGAAATGATTAAACTTAGGGAGGAAGATATATCGAAAGCCAAGATAAGCCAAAAGCTAGACCTCTTAGACCTCTTGCATCAAACAGCGAAGTTGTGAATACAAAGAAAAAGTTCTCGAAGGAAATTAAAAGTGCTACTCCAGTGAATTCATGAGTGATAAGAAAGCCAAACAGCCTTCTTGCTGATTTGGAGAAAATTATAGTAGTCTGGATAGCTTGAACCAGCCACAACATTCCCTTAAATGAAAGACTAATCCAGAGCAAAGCCCTAACTCTCTTCAATTCTGTGAAGGCTGGAGAGATAAGGAAGCTGCAGAAAAAAGTTGGAAGCTAGCAGAGTTTGGTTCATGAGGCTTCTTTCAAGACATCTCCATAACATAACAGTGTAAGGTGAAGCAGCAAGTGCTGATGGAGAGAAGCTGCAGCGAGTTGTCCAAAAGATCTAGCTATGATAATTGATGAAGGTGGTGACACTAAACAGTAGATTTTCAGTGTAGATGAAACAGCCTTCTATTGGAAGAAGGTGCCATCTAGGACTTTAATAGCTAGAGAAGAGAAGTAATTCCTGGCTTCAAAGCTTCAAAGGACAGGGTGACTCTCTTGTTAGAGACTAATACAGCTAGTGACTTTAAGTTGAAACCAGTGCTCATTTACCATTCTGAAAATCCTCGGGCCCTTAAGAATTATGCTAAATCTGTTTGGCCTGTGCTCTATAGATGGAAAAACTAAGCCTGAATGACAGCACGTCTGCTTATAACATGGTTTACTCAATATTTTAAGCCTACTGTTGAAACCTGCTCAGAAAAAAAGATTCCCTTCAAAATGTTACTGGTCATTGACAATGCACCTAGTCACCCAAGAGCTCTGATGGAGATATACAAAGGGATTAATGTTGTTTTCATGCCTGCTTAAACAATATCCATTCTGCAGTCCAAGGATCAAGAAGTAATTTTGGCTTTCAAGTCATATTATTTAAGAAATACATTTTGTAAGGCTGCCATAGATAGTGATTTCTCTGATGGATCTGGACAAAGTAAATTGAAAACCTTCTGGAAAGGATTCACCATTCTAGATGCTATTTAGAACATTCATGATTCTTGGGAGAAGGTCAAAATATCAAGATTAATAGGAGTTTGGAAGAAGTTGATTCCAGCTCTCATGGATGACTTTGAGGGTTTCAAGACTTAAGTGAAGGAAGTAACTGCAGATACGATGGGAATAGCAAGAGACCTAGAAGTTGAGACTGAATTGCTGCAATCTCATGATAAAATTTGAACAGATGAGGAGCTCCTCCTTAAGGATGAGCACAGAAAGTGGTTTCTTGGGATGGAAACTACTCTTGGTGAAGATGCTGTGAACATTGTCAAAATGACAACAAAGGATTTAGAATATTCCATAAACTTAGTTGATAAAGCAGCAGCAGGGTTTGAGAAGCTTGATGCCAATTTTGAAAAAAGTTCTACTGTAGGTAAATGCTATGAAAGAGCATCACATGCTACAGAGAAATCTTTCATAAAAGGAAGAGCCAATTGATGTGGCAAACTTCACTGTTGTCTTATTTTAAGAAATTGCCACAACCACCCCAACCTTTAGCAACCACCACTCTGATCAGTCAGAGGCCATCAACATCAAGGTATGTTTTTCTTATATCCTCAGACATTGTATTTTAAATCTTTGGCGATCCTGCATGAGTGAGAAAGGTTGGTAGATATAGGTTTATTTTTATTTATTTTTTATTTCAGGGTATTATGAGGGCACAAACATTTTTGGTTACATTTTATGTCTTTGCCTCACCCAAGTGAGGGTTAGAGGCATGCCCTTCCCCTTTACAATGCTCACCGTGTCCTTTAGTTGTGGGTTTACCCCACCAATCCCCCTAATCCCTGGAGAATATTACTGCCATGTGAGCACCCTAGTGTTCATC